AAAATTCTGAAGTGAGAGTTTTGGGCAGTCTGAAAATCTCGAATGGTCCTTAAGTGGTGAAAGGTCGGAAGACCTTGAAAACCACCTGTTTAGGCAAGCTGCATCCTGAAGTGGTGAAGTGAGTTTTGGGCAGTCTGAAAATCCTGAATGGTCCTGAAGTGGTGAAAGGTCCGAAGACCCTGAAAACCACCTATTTAGGCAGGCTGCATCCTGAAGTGGTGAATGGTGTCCTGAAGTGGTGAAAGTTTCGAAGACCCTGAAAACCACCTGTTTAGGCAGGCTGCATCCTGAAGTGGTGAAGGGTGTCTTGAAGTGGTGATGAAAAATACGATTGTTGTTAACCTTCTCTCCCTCACAGCCTCCCAGGCCTTTGAGCATCAATCGACACTCACTCTTGTACAACCCAGAATAGGAGTGAATCACCCTTTGTCCAATTCCTCTCGCCACACACTTACCACCACCACCCTTACTGTCACCAACACAGAAGATGACAAATCGCCATGGAAGTCAACTCCAATGTCTCTCCAGATGATGGTAGTTGCTCCAACTCATTACTCCACTGACTGGATCTGATTGCTCCGATACCAACTGTTATGAACTTGGTTGTTTGTTGTCGGAAGACCAACACTCGCTCACATAGACTTCCAGGCATGCCCATACATACACAGAGGGAAGGGGAGAGGATGGGAGTATCACACCGCACAGGGAGATGGAAACACAACGAAAGACTTGTCCATGCGATATGACAAAGTACACTGAAAGTGCAATTCACTCCACAGAATCCTCACAACCAGTCACAAGAGAAAGCCGAGTAGATCACATCCAAGAAACAATGAACTAAAGATAGTTCCCAAACAGTATCAACACTGTTTATTCAACTCAGAGTCTCAATTTGTCAGAACAACCCCAGAACTGTGATGTGCTGCTAAAAAATGAGCAACGCTTCTTTCCCCAGCCCTGAGTAACCGCTATCATTACCCCTGAGCCCCTGAAACAACCAGCGCCACCCAGATACTGCCTCCAGAGGGAAGCGCCACCTTGAAACGGGCCTTTGAGGCCAAGCGCTTTACAGAGGATGAAGAAGAATACCAGCGCCACAGTATCTGATGATCATGAAGTGCCAGAAGACTTCCCAGATGGAAATCTGCAGCAGTGCCACCTCTCTTGACAAAGATGATCTCTGAGGATGAAAGCTGCAGCTATGGCTGCAGCGCCACACACCCTGACACCCCACTTCTGAGGAGGGTTCAGTAGGGCCCCAACTTCTCTTGCCTCCAGCAGACTTCAGATAGCCCGAACCTCTGACAGCCCCGCGTGCTGTCAGAGAACAGCGCAGGTCCCAGCTATGGCTGACGCTTCGAAGGTCCGGCTATGTCTGTCTCCTCCAGCGCTGAAGTTGTACCACCACCAGTTCATGCGTTGCACCGCCACTGTGTACTCGGTACCAACTGCCAAAAGCCTCAAGCAGCTTACCCTAGACCTATTCATAGTCTACCCTAGCCTAGACATGACCTAGACCGGACTGCTTGGACTGACCGGTACCGTTTCCGTTCGGCCTTTAGGGCCTCTCCCCACCCGGCTATAGGCTATAGGACCGTCTAGCAGTATAGGCCTGTAGGCCCTCCTGTCTTAGTGGTAGCCCGGGTCTGCTATTCGCAGTTAGGGTCACTATAAGAAATTCAGGTTAGTGCGGGTCTGTAATTTTCCAAAATTTACAGATATGTCCCTCACGAATTTTCCTACAGGCAGATCTCTCAGTTAGCCCTCAGCCAAACAAAATCGCGAATCTGTTCTACCTATGTTACAGCATCTGGTCGACGGGTTGCAGGCTGCAGAATCAGCAGGTCATTGCAAAGTCAGCAGGTAGTCGCGACACAGGTACGCGCCACGTCAGACAATGCCCTGCCAATAGTCGGATGCCACGTCAGCACCTCTGCGCCATGCCACATAGGCAGCACGCCACGTCATCAGTCCCAATATCCACTCTCTCTCGTTCTCGTCTACCAGCGCCACGTCAGCCTGTTGCCAACGATACTCTCGTCAGTATCTCAATGCCACATAAGCAACAAAGTGCCACGTAAGCAATGTCGTTGTCTTCCTCTTCAAAGTGTCCACGTCATCATCTTCAAGGGGGCTGCATGCACGTGTGGTACTCATTGTCTAGACTCGCGATATTAATCACACGCGTTTATAAACACGTTTCGTCCCATACACGTGCGGCACCTCCCACTTACCTGGGCGCCATGTGGCACCTGACAGCAGATTGCGACGAAGAAGGTATGCTTCGATACCAAATTGTAATGAACCCAGTCTGTAAGATACTCGCCCGATGTCGAGATACAAGGTAAAACTCAACTCTGAACAATGTCCCCAATAATCATGAATGTGATCTCTGATACAATGTCTCGTTTCCAGTAGGCGAAGAGAGTGGAGGGGGAATAGACAGATTAGAAGGTGGAAGAGATAGTAATCATCAATGACCACACAGAGAGTAGCCCAACATTCCCCGCTCCTTCTCCGGGCTTCCCCTCGCCTCGACGTCAGCAAAACAGTATTCAGTAACGAGACTGACAAATCCTGATCACATTGAAGTGCCACGTGGCACAGTCCTCTTGTGAAGACGTTGGAAACAATCAACCGCGCACAGTATCGACATATCCTCAGGTAAGTATCCCAATCCTCCTCAATCATCCACATATCCCGATCTCCCTCCTTGTCGCGTCCAGTCACCCAATGTAGACAGCGTGGCCAATGCCACATCAGCGATGAAGACAGGCGGCCTGTGCCACATCAGCAGAGGCTGGCACTCAGCAGAGAAGGCGCCAGCATGCTGCCTCAGTCCCGCGTCATCGTCCACAGTGCCAGCGCACAGCCAGCGTCAAGCCAGCGTCCAGCCAGCGTCAAGCCAGCGTCTAGCTAGCCTCAAGCCAGTGACAAGGCAGCATAGCAAGACTGAATGTTGACTCCCTGGAGGCAGGGTCTTAAGTAGTGATAGACCGAGTTGACCTGCCTCAGATCTCCCACTCATGGTGGCTCAGATTGATTCACTTGGTCTGGATTGCATACAGTTGCAGACTTCCACTTGGTCTGAATGCGGCCTTGGTACCTGCATACAAACAAGTGTGTGCGTCTGACGGGCGGCCTGGGCTGGGTCTGTATTGACTTCGACTGTTGGGCGTCAGGCAGTTGACTGAAGTCAACTGTCGGGCGCTCAGGCCCTGGGTCATTTCGGAGGGGTCTTTTGCCCCTTCGACCTTACGGCCAAAACCGAGGTCACGGCCTGTGGGCCCCTTCGACATTCAATGAGGCATAACGAACGGGTTATTGCAGGGCCCTTGGGCCTTAACAAACACGGATGGACGGTAGATACCCCGTGTAGGGATAGAGGCCCTTTCATCAAGACAGCTTCGGTATGCCCTTGTCTATGCTTGTCCCATGGAGAGTCTGGGTACTGTTGCTTAGTTCCCTTCCCGCTGGTACACTCACGCTAGTCCATACAGGCACGATTCTGCGGCTGAGGCATGTGGGCCATCTCTCTATGCACCCAATTGAGAAATAGTAGGGCTGGGTGTTAGACACATCTGGGATGGTATCTGTGGGAATTCCGATTGAAGGTTCAGCTGGGGTACGATTCCTTGGGAGAGTGTCTGGCTAGGAGCATCAACTATCAGTAGAAGGGTGGGTGGGATGTCACATTGATAGTAAAAGGGTGGATAGCTGCCCATAGAGTCTGCTTGATGTGACACAAGAGGGAGTATGACTGTCTCTACAGGACCCCTCCTGTGTCTAAGTCGTGCTCTGGGGCCCTCTGCTGGCCAGGGAACCACATACTTAGGCGGTACCCGGTGGCATACCAGCGTTGGTCCTTAGAGGTGTCCCTATGGTGAGCTCCCCGGAAGGGTTGCGGTTACGTGTAGTCTATGCTTGGGCTTAGGGTTTGGCTAGGGTACACTGCTGTAGGGCTCGACTTGTGATCTGCTATGAGATTAGACTAGGGGGAAAAAATGATATTCCTGGGGGGGGGAGACAATCCGTAACCGGTTCGTGACCCATTGGATCCTCCCATGGCTGAGTACTACAGGTGTCTCCCAAGGCCTACCGTCTTCACCCGAAGATAATGCCCAGGCATTGTATACGGGCGTTATCTTCAGTAAATTGGTGGCAACTTCGTCGGGGGCCCAAAATTCCTGAAAAATAAAAATAAAAAAACTCGATGAAAAACATATATTGTCCAGAATTGCAATGCGACCATCGTTTGGCTGAGGGTCACTACAGAATTCCTTGTAAACTCCGGAATAAAAAAAAATAAAAACAAAAAATCATATTGAAATATGCCCCTTGGAAGTTAAACCCCTTTCAACCCCCTTTAAAACCCACGTATATCCCCCTCCCCGCCCTTTCAAACCCATGTATACTAGCTCCACAAGGCACTCTGCCCATGGAACATTCACATATAACACCTGGGCGTTATATTCGAAGGGTCGTTCTATTTGAGAAAAACTCTGAAAAAGAGAGTAAAAACGAAAATCTGATCTTTTTAGGGTAAGTTGAATATAGCGCCCGGGGGTTATTCTCGGGTGAAGACGGTAGCATCTGACCTCTACTACTACGAGGACTGTCTTAACAAACCCTGAGGGTGGTTTCAGGGGTTGCATAAGTAACGACCTAAAATGAAAGTTACCACACTTGTTTTTGCAGCATTTTGGTATGCGTATACCGCTTGTGGAGCACTACCACCCTTCCAGGAATGCACCACACCCCCTCGATGACTGTATCGGGCATGAAAGATGGGCTGTATGCATTCATGATCTGGGTGCACTGTGTTTGAGGTAAGGCGGCATTTCACAGCGCCCAGGCCATGCATGTGTGCATAATGCACCTCACCTTGTGCACAATCAGTATGGACAGATTGTGCTGCATGGAAAGAACCAGACACGGATGTCACTGTCATGTCAACTGATCCAGTCTTTCACACCTCTGCATGATGTGCATCATGGCAGGGACAATGGCAAGACTGGAGTTCAGATTCCTCCGGGAGCAGGTCTCAGCAGTTTGTTTCCAAAGGTATATCCGTGGATACCTTGCACAGAAGAATTACCTCAAGATGCAGCAAGCTGCTATCAGGATTCAGTCTGCCGTCAGGTCTCTTGCTGCAAGGAGGTTTCTTTGCTTTTTGGAAGACAACCATGCTGCCACTCAGATTCAGGTGCGGGATCTCCCTCCCACCGCCATATAAATTTAAGTCATCAATGTCGCGTTTTGGCTCATAAAATGTTGTTGTGATTGAAAGTATGATGAAATGGAAAGCTGATGTTCCATAATCATGGGATTCTTTCTCCCTGAAAAACGTAAGGATCATGAGTGCTGCCTATGAGTTGTGTTTCATGACAAGCATGAGAGTCTTGCTCCTATACAAAGTGTGTGTGGCGCTCTTCGTCTTCATGTGCCACACTCAAAAAAGTGCTCGTATAATAAACTTCAATTGTGGTCTTCGCCAGTCCAGGCGGTGCAACGTTTTTGATTCATGGACAATCAGATGTTTTAAGACTGGCTGGTAATGACAACTGCTGATTGGTATGAAACAGTTTTCACCTTTGGCAGTAGCCGATGCAGATCCCAGGGGTCGATCCCTTGACCTCAGCTTACCTGTGTACAGTATCTGCACAGTTCCCTGGAGTTGAACCCGTGACCTGCACGATAGCCAGTGGTAAGTAGGTCGCTGTAG